TAAAATTCTGAAAATTTCGTGTGTAAAATGTAATTTTTGTGAAATTTGACATTCATTTTCTCAGGCTGCCATAAGAAATTTTCTTTGGTGTTATTAGAGATGATCTGACTAATTACATCTTATTAGCCCTTGAAAAATATGAAAAAGAATGCACTATGCTTTGAATTTTTCTGGTACAAGGCTTTTGTCCACTGAAAATTAAAATTACTCAATTTCCTGGTGGATTCCGTCTTAAGTCATATTAAACTTGTCCAGTGTCTTTGGCCAGATACAATGTAACGAACTTAACATACAGATGTTTGTAGCAAATCTTTGAGGTAGGCCCGTGCTAACCCACTGAACATTATAAATAATACGATGACTTACTGGAAGCTAGTTACTTCAAAATAGCGAATAGTTGTAATTTGGTCATGAATATCATCATGCTTGTTGTAATAACTACTCATTAGACGAGCCGCAGAGTTATGCGTTCTGTACGACTGATTAAAAATGTTGGTGGCCACTTAAAGTAAAGGAAGTAATAAAGGCGCTTGAAGGTTTTAGCGTCACTGATATTCATCAACAAATCACTTGTCCTATCTATATTGCAAAAATGGAGGAAACATGCTAAAACCTTACTTGATTTTGACCTTATCCAATCTCAACGTTGCAAGGTTACTGTGAAAATGTCAAGTACTTGATGATTTTTTGAGCAACACATAGGTCATTTTCACATGAAATAAGTTTGTTTTGACTCTTTTGCAGGCAAAATCTAAAACGCACTTGAAGTGCACCTTAACACTGCAAAAAACTTAACTGCATGCCTCAAAAACATGTGAGCGTTTAAGTGCTATTCCACCAAAACAAAATGTTCCGTTCTTTATAAATCCAAAAGAAAAACAACTTGAAGAAAACTATGATGAAAGCCATCATTTTGCTATATTCATTTTATCGTTTTCTTTCAGTGTGCCTTTTTTGTGAAGACAGAAATTTGTTCAGATAATTCTTGTCATGAGACAAGTTTTTCGCAGTCACATACTGAGTATCGTAATTATAAATTTCAGAGTTGAGACTTCCTTTCGAAGCAAACTTTTTCTTTTTTAAGGTCGTTCTAAGCCTTAAAACTACACTTAAAAGCTATCACTTCACTAAATTACTTTCTCGTTTTCTTTTATCCATAATCTTCATGTAAAAAGACCTTTTTTTCCGCTTCCAAGGGTCATGAAACAGCATTTTTCATGCAGGCTTTTCTTACAAAGCAAATTCTTCTTTTCTATATTGATATAACGTGGAACCTTGAAAGAGTTTGCGACTCGAGAAGAAGAAAAAAATTCAAGCTCTCTCAGCCCAACTAATAGTAAACTTATGGAAGAACCTCGATATAAAGGAAATAACCTCTTTGTAGAGAACATATTTTGCCAGTGAAAAATAGCCCTCCATTGTTTTACTGCAAGGAGGTTCCACCAAAATTAATATATTATAAAGGCACTAAAAAAGATCATGTTGCTACATTCATTTTTCTACTGAGTTTCATGATGCCAATTCCATAAAAACAGGAATTGCTATGCCTAACAAGGTGATATAACAGGGGCACCCAACGACGGTTTCCCCCTAATTACTTTGATAACACTTTTTAGGCTATCCAGAGTACTTTTAGGCCCGGTTCAAACGTCGAACTTTTCATGAGCCGAACTTAATACCTGTTTGGGTCGACCCAAATGATTAGGTTCGACGGTTGATTCAGACGTCGAACTTAAGGTGGCTGGACACAGTTTTGCGGGCGGTCAGCGGTAACTTGCGTGACCGCGCGTGTTTTTAATTAGACAAACAAACATGGCGGCAAAAAAGCAATGGTACATAGGAGACGATTTCTCAAAATCTACTCATTAAAATTTTGTGATATTTGGCAGAATTTTTACTTTTATCATATTTTAGATAATGAAAACTTTAAAATGGAAGTTGAACAGACGACTTTTGTGACACATTTAATAATTACAATACAATTATATTATTGATTATCTAAAAGTCCGTCTGTTAAAATTTGATCAAATAAGTTTCAAATGGTAATGATTAGTTATAGTAAGCTGTGTGCAAGTTTATAGGAAAATCTAATGAGCGAATTTTATGTAAACTGAACAAAAGTGAAATTTTAAGGCTTTTATTCAATCGTTCATGTTGCCATGGAAACTACGAAAACGTCAAATTTTACCTGTCAATCAAAATCTTTCAACAGTATATTTTTCACCTGCCAAGTTTCAGCTTGTGAGCTGCAACCTTTCTCTTGCCATGATTTGGCAAATGACATACACTCACAAACTGCCAAAACTGTGTTCAGCCACCTTAATTCGTCGTACTTCATTCACGAGCTCTACAATAGCCAGCGGTCAGTCATCGGTTAAATACCCAAACAAACATGGCGGAGGTTCCAGAAGAAGGTTGTGATTTGCGAGGTGATTTGCGAAGAAGAGCTTTTATTTTTCGTGCCATCCGGGTGGGGAGGAAACGGAGAAAAATGCTACGAAGTTTCTTGCATGCTGTCATCACAAGAAGGCAATTTATGATGAATATATGTGTTATCGGTCTGCTGTTAAGTGTGTCACGAAAAAGTGCAACACCAGTCTACAATCGTTCGTGTAGGAGGCTCCCGAGAAATATGGGATGGTTTAACCTAGTTTGGAGCACGTATTCCGATGAAAGATTCAAGAAAACGTTTAGGATCTCACGTACAACATTCCAGTTTATACTGCAACGAATCAGACATGTTCTAGATAGAGATACTGTGACCGAAGAGCCGATATCCCCAGAATTCAGGTTGGCCATTGCTCTGTATCGTTTATCAAGGGGAGATTACAATTATACGATAGCGGAAATGACAGGACTGGGGGTGTCAACCGTGTGTACGATCGTCAATGAAGTCACACGCGCAACTGTGGACAACTTGTGGGACGAATGTGTTGGCCAGCAACTGCCAAAGAGTGAGGAACAATTTAAGGAGAAGATAGTTGATATGGAGGAACAGTGGCAATTTTGTTGTTGTTGGGCTGCAGTTGATGGATGCCATTTACCTATCAAATGCCCGCCTGGGAATTTTTCTTGTAAGGAATACCACAACTTCAAAAACTTCTATTCAATAGTGTTAATGGCAATGGTGGACTCCAACTACAGATTTGTTTGGGGAACCTGTGGTTTTCCAGGCAATTCTCATGACGCTGTAATATTTCAATCAACAAAGCTGTACTCTGATATAAAAGAAGGCACCTTTATTCCTCAGATAAGTAAGAATGTCAATGGAGTACAAGTACCTCCAGTTGTACTTGGAGATTCTGCTTTTCCTTTATCTTCTTGGCTTATGAAGCCATACACAAATGCAGTCCCAACACCAAAACAGTACAACTTTAATTACAGACTGAGTCGGGCAAGGATGGTCACTGAAGGGGCCTTTGGGCAACTCAAAGGTAGATGGCGCATACTGCTGACGAAATGTGAAAGTAGCACAAGTGAACTGAAAATAGCAGCCCTTGCATGTTTAGTACTTCACAACATTTGTATTGATCTTGGAGATACATTGCCAAGAAAATTGGACTTGACAATTGACCCGGTCACCAATCAGAGACGCAGTAGGGCGAAGGTAAGGGAACTGCTTCAAATGAGGGAATGTGAGAAGATCAGAGACACTTGCTATCAAGGTTTACTTGTTCGAGATGCTCTTGCTGAGAAATTTTGGTTAGAGAAAGAAACTGGTATCATCAAGTAAACAGACCTAAACTGGGTTTTAAGTTTATTCATCTATCATACAGTACTTCTACCAAAGTAGATGTAACAGTGATTACACTTCATGAAAGAAGTGTGTTGAGTTATGACATGTAGGAATCACAGAGGATGTAAGATGAGGCACAGGGATTGTCAAAAAATTTGTTTCATTATATGTAAGCTATTAATTTTGATAGGTAGGAAGACTTGTTATCATGTGAAATGATATGGATGAACAACTGGGTGGCAATCAAATTTCACTCCTACCTGTCTAAACAATTGGTTGTAAGAAATAGTTCTTGATAACCCCTCCTGTATCACAACCTTCATTTTTACCTTCTCACTTTTAAAAGTGGGCAAAGAGAATTTGTAATCAGGGCCATGAATAGAAAAAGGTGAACCAAGGCACTAGCCTCGGTAGGAAGTTTAAATTTCTGTAGTTTTGTGTGGTTCCTGTTAGTTTAGGAGACTCTCTTTTATGAATAAAAAATGTATGAGAGTTTTTTTTCCTGATATTGCATCTGAGAAAAATAATCACCATAATACAAATCAGCAGACTTAGTCAAATGATTTTATTATGCAACTGAAGGTTATAACACAACAATACTACCAAACTTACAGTGATTACCAGCTGCAGGGAAACGTAAAGCTGTAAAAACTGACATAACGTTTCCTTTCTTGGCCCTTGGACTACAAGGCCCATCTATTTCTTAGTAATACTAATTTCAACTACACAACTTGTTTGGTCACTTTTCATTTTAACAATAATAAACAGTTACATGGTTCATTTTGAAGTTTTGGTTAAGCGTTTGAATCAAAAGAACCTTTATGAGCATAGAAATTCCGCTGCTGGAAGTCAGAATTCAGTACAACATAATCTTTGTCATTCCTTTCAGAAATCCTCTTAGTTTCTCTTAAAAGTCCTGATTACATTTCCCATGCAGATCAATCAGAATTCAGCTTTGTTTCTAAGTTTTAGCCTTACTTAAGTTGATGTTATAGACTACAATTACCTTGAGTGAGATATTACATAGAATGATAAAAGGGACTTGCATTCCATTCTCTCAAACTTATGGGAGAACCTGTTGGGTTACTTGAATCTGTGGACAAAAAGGGGGAAGGTGCCATGGGGGGTACTGATATTGGTTGAAATGACCTGTGGTTTCCCTCCCACAAGGTGTAATCAGACTGAGGAGCAAAATTTGAGGCAGGCATAGAAAGACCTTGGTTAATGCTACTTGGGGAAACATAACCCCCCTGATGATGACTAGCTAATCCATACTGTGTCTGTGGGTTAGGGTGGAATGTGTTAAAAGCAATTGGAAAAGTTTGACCTCATGCTCTCTTGATTTCTCAATATCTGATTTTAAGAATTGGATGAGCTGTTTTGTGGGGTCATTTTCAATTGCACTCCTCATTAAGTGAATAGCTTCAACCAATGGGTCTTCTTTTTTCAGTTTCTTGGTTGGAGCTGATTTCACAGGCACAAAGTGCTTACCAACACAGTCTTGAGAAGCTTGACTATTGCCCTCATCTTCTGTTGACTGAGTTACCTCCTCTCTTGATGCTGATGGCTCTACAGCCAGTTCTGGTCTGCAAGAGTCATGTGTTTTGATAACTTCAAACAACTGATTGAACCAGTTACTGTAACCCTTGTCATCTTGGAATCGTTTCACCCCAGTGGAAGTTTTGGTGGTCAAAGCTACACTCTTACATTCTGCAACAAGCTTTTTAAATTTTGATCTAAGTTGTGGTACAGTAAAGGAAACATTTTCATTCCTAGACTTGCATCTCTTCTTAAGTTCAGCAAGTACCTCGGCATAGATCTGTCCATTTTTCTGAGTTTTAACATTGGTGAATATAAGTTTTTTCTTGAAATAATCACTACTTATTATGATATCTATAGTATCATCTAACAGGGACTGAGACCATTTTGCTTTTCTGCCTGCTTTCTTTGCCTTTTTGTCAGTTTTCTCAGAAACAGAGTCCTCTGCATCTCCATCCTCATCCCCATTTTCATCTTCTTCGCCATCACTCTCATAGGACATGTCTTCTGGCTCCTGATGAGCTGCACTATGTGATCAAGAAGCAAAAAATTATTATTAAACTATTAGCAATAATAACTGTTATTATTGGCCTTATCAAACAGATAGGTCTTTCTCTCAATGATATAACAAACCTATGGCACATCATTTCTTCTAATTTATACTTATATTCATATCCATAAACAGTTTTTTTAGTGGGTGCCAATCTCTACAACATAATATTTAGATGCAAGATTTCAACAAAATAAAAACAATGATTAGTCATGATTTCAGTGATAAACAATCTTATTTATATACATAGGTCCCCAAAGACAACACTATTAACAAGAAATAGTGTTTGTCATTGATCAATAATTAGTTATGCTAGGTCCCAGGGTGAGGGGGGTACTCCAAGAAAAATTGGGTGGGGGTGTGTAGCACGCTTCCCAAAACCCTTACCCTATTTATGACAAACGTCTGCGATTTTCCCTACTCTATTTATGATCTGACAAAAAAAACTGGATCCCCAATTCATGACCATTGCCACTGGGACAGTTGAAGGGCTTTTGTTAATGGTCTTATCGATAGAGATGTAAAAGGAGCTTCTTCTAAAAGAAAATACCCAGTTCAAAATCGATACCCTATTTATGATCAAAACTGCTGAAAAACCATACCCTTTGGGGCCGCACATGCCTATGTAGCCCACATAAGGGAGTTATCCCCCAGTTCCAGGTATATGACAGGCTTTGTATCAACAGAATCACAGGGTAACGTCAGGGCTATGTTAATTTTCTGTTACCAGTCCACTCCAACCCCCTTTCCCCTCTTTTGGAATATCCTTCATTTTGCTTTTTATTTTAGCCCTTCACTTTTTCAAAGTAATAACTTAAATTGCATCATACAAACATCAATTTAATCAAATCAATAAAATTTAATCAAATCAATAAACGGTCAAAAACACTACTCACCAACTTGTGGCCTCCTCACGTTTGTCTTCTCCGTTGTTGTCCATTTTCTCTCCTCATCCACTGCTTGTTTTCTCTCTTTGACCACTGCTTCTTGTCTCTCCTAGTCCGCTTTTTGTTTTCATTCCTTGTCCGCTGTTTGCTTTCTCTTCTTGTCCGTTGTTTGTACTGGCTCCTTCTTCCTTCTCACAAGAGATGCAATATCCCACGGACTTTCCAGCTACCCAGCCAGGGGTTCCCTCGTCGTCTTTAAACCCCGAGCAATGGTTACAAACAGAGTGACCACATTTTATGCATGAATATTTTGTCGTGGCAAAACACGAATAACACATGTCTTCGTCCAGCACGACCGTAAACGTTTTCCGCCAAGCCACCATCTTTTTTCACCTCTGTTGCCTCTGATGCGCATGCTTCATGCGACAGAAGGGGGTTGTGGGATCTAAAAATGTATTATAATAATTTATGCATTAGGTTCGGTACATGAAAAATTCGATGTTTGAATCGGAGTCGCTCCGTAGTCGAACTGACCGACTGGCCATGTCGAACTTAATTCTCGGGTCGACCCAAATAACATCTGTTGAACTTAATTGATTCAAACGTCGATCTCATCATGTACTTAATTGGGGCTATTAGGTTCGGCTCATGAAAAGTTCGACGTTTGAACCGGGCCTTAGATCTCTAGAAATGTATTCTAAGTGGCGCTAAGAAATTTATATCTGTTCGGTCATCCTAGGGTAACTTGAGTCTTTTCGAAGTTACGAGTATTTTTTTCCCGAAACTTTTAGCAGCAATTTAAAGTTTTCCGAAAGTGATAATTTTTCTGATTCCTTTCTGCATTGCATTTTCGATTCCGAAAATTTTAGGTTTCCTTTCTCTACGAAAAATAACCTAACCTGGGGAGTGAAATGGGAAAAATGAAACTTCAGAAAATCGTGGGGAATTTATTAGATAAGCTTGGAAAATTCTGTACATGAATGGAACGGTCATCAAGAAATTTTTAGCCTTCCTCAAGTTATAGAAAATTCTAGGCAATTTTTGCTTCTCCGGACAGATATTTCACAGAAAACAGTCGTTGGGTGCCCCTGATATAAAACGATGGGTAAACGATTGGCATTATTGCTAGGCTAAGACATTTCGTACCACTTAATACTTTACAACATATATACAGATCGCTGATTCAACCCTATTTGTTATATGGCATAACAGCGTGGGGCCGAGCAGACAAAATCCACAGAAACAAAATCCTATGTCTTCAGAAACGTGCCCTTCGCCTCATCTTTTTTGGTGATTATAAAGCTCACGCAGTACCCTTCTTCATTTCATCCAGTCTACTACCTCTAGATCTTCTTTACTTCAAGTCAGTTGCCGTCTTAATGTATGACGTCTCAAATAACACATCGCCACCTCAAATAAGTAATTTATTTAATTACAAGCATAATATTCATTCACATAACACAAGATCATCAACAAGAGACAACTTCTTTCTCGAATACTCTAGATTAGACAAGCAAAACATGTCTTTTTCAAGAAACGGTGTTAGAGTCTGGAATAACCTATCTAATGAAATTCATCAAATGCCTAAAGTGAAATTTAAACGCAACATTCACAATATGCTCCTTCAGAAACTCTCGGAGGCGAATGAGTATATCGATCTATTGGAATTGAATGTGTCTTGAAAACTAAACTCAGTTCATTCTATTAGCTTTCTATCTACATTATACTTCCAGCTTCTCATGTAATCTGCCTTATTTTCTCCTGAGAATCTTTGTTTTTCCCAAATGTTATTAATACTAGTCAGTATCCAGTATTCACCTTATTTTAATGTATTGTACGATAACAATTAATTCTACTTAGTATTTTAATTGTATTGTTATTGTAATTATTCTACTTAGTGTCAAGCCACTGCTCGCCTCGAATAGCTATAGCTAACTGCGAGCAGTGGTACATCACATTTTGTATTTTCTCAACTTTTCTTAATAAACTTGAAACTTGAAACTTGAAACTACGATGAAAAACAATCATTTTATTATTTTGAACTAATTTTTCGTTTTCACTGAGGCCAGTCTCGTAATAAAAAAGACTGTCTAGATTTTGACGATTCTACACAAATTAGGGGCCGGTTTGCTTACAAAAAAAGTGCTTCGTCGCTAGCAACGAGAAAGACATTAGTAGAAGTCCAAAATCCGTTATTTTGCTAAATTCCTCTTCGTCAATTATTATATGCTTACGAAATGTCATAAAAAAAATCGAGTGAAGCTTTTCCTGAAACATCTCGGCAAATTTCTCAGAGATCAAACACATTTGGTAGGACGAAGGGTTTTGCTCAAACATCAAAACGTTGCCATTCGTTGTTTCACTTCTTGTCGCTATTGCAGACTTACCTTCGATTAAATCGTATGTGCTCAAACTACTTCGAATATTTCTAGGACCTCTATCCAACCGAAAGAAATTAACGATTTCACGCCATTTGGTGAGTCCATCGCCTTCATTTAAGTTGAGTTTTGAAGCCTTGTTCAAGAAATCTAGCTCAACTCGGAAAACCAAGATGGCGGGCTTCACCGTTGTGCTGCACGCCCAACTCAAGGCGTCATCCAGATTTTTAGTTAAATAAAATCCCGCTCCACTGCTAAAATCTCTTTTCTTACGTCCTGCTCCGAGGTGTATGCCTCGACCGTTCATGATGTCGCAAGCACTTTCATGATCTGTTCCATGAAACAGAACAACCTGTTGTTCGCCATACAGTTCCAACTTTGTCAGCATGGACTGTGTCTTCATAGAACTTTCAGATTTCTCGGTCACGACGTTCGCAATAATGACACCATCCTTTTCTAACCATTCAGCCCTTCCATCAATTTCAAAAGGAAACCTTTTACTCTGCTGAGACAGCAAAATGTTGTACTTGAATTCGTCTTGAATTCCTCTTTCTGCCCGCTCACAGGCTTCGATGTGTTGTTTCATACTGCCCGCGCGCTCTAAAATGCTTTCAACGGCCGAACTCGATGGATCGAAACCAATCGCATAGAGTTGTTCCTTATAACTAAAGGAGTTTTTCTCTGTTTTGCTTAAAGTATCGTTGTTATTACGTAAGAAATTCACGATCCAGTAGTAGAGTGTTTGATGATCACGAATTTCTGGAGGCATTTCTTCAAGTCGGTCGAGGAAGTCGAGTCTGAGACCAAGCAGGGAACAAACAAAGACTGTGTACTTGTCCAACCTTCTTCGGTCCTCCTCGTGCATTTGAAAGTTGACTTTCATCTTTTCTTTCATCAGACCGTCACAAGCTTCACTGAGCATTTCAATGTAATGCTGGAGCATTGGCAAATCAGTTAGATCTTTCGATTTTTTTGAAGCCAAGAATTTTTTTAATGGCTCAACACTTTCGCTTAAGACTCTGTACAATTTGTTTTCAAAATCCTGAAGGGATTTTTGCTGGTCTTGTTTCGTTTGTTGTGTTCGACGCAGCCAAAGTTTGATAATCAAGGTAAGGGCCTCAAGTTCAAATAACCCAGGAAAATTTTCTTCCGTTTCGTCTTCATCACTTTCGTCGTCCCCTGAACTTTCAGAGGAATCGGTTTCCATTTCATCAACTCGTGTATTACATCGCACGGGCAGTTTAAGGCCCTGTATAAAGCGTTCGGCCTCAACGCCCTCTGACTCAAAAATTGAGCGAGAGGCAGTCATTGCATCCAAGGAGGAAGCCATGTTCGTTTTTAAATGAAGAAACCTCACAACCTTAAGCTGTGAACAACTTGTCGAGATGACTGACCGTTTCGTGTTTGCCTGATTTATGATGCTGGCTTGTTTTTAGCAGTTAACATGCACCTCCAGTAACGTGCTCTTTGATTGGCTGGATTGTTTGACAGGGTTGCGTGGGTTGTAAGCCCAACCTCGTCCCCAGGGTCTTCTCGCTTTCCAATATGGCGGCGGCAGGAGAGAAGACCCTGGCACACAGCGAACTAAAACGATCGCTGATTGGTGCATTCCATGGTGCGTTCATACGTGCGCTCTCATTGGTTTATTCCTTCCAAAACAAAGATGGTTAACATTTGAGGGCTTCGTAGGCTGAGAAGTGCTTTCTTCAGTGTTTGAGACCTAAAAGGTGGACAGAATTCAGGTCTGATTGTTCGGAAAACAGTGACTTTACCGTTGGAAGGCAAAGATTCGAAGATAGTGATATCTGAAATGGTAATCGCTGGGAATATTATGAGGCGTAGAGGTATTTCTGTTGCTCGTTCTATTTGGTTTGTGTGTTCTAAATTACTAAAGATTTGTTTCTTTAATTCCCGATTTGTCAAAGAATACTTGCAAGGCTTCAGCTTATCAATAAATTTAGCTGTCCGTTTGCGAACTGCCTTTTGTTTTCTTTGAACAATAGCTGTATGCATAATATTATTAATGTATGGGGTTATACGGAAATCGTGCATAATCTGTGGTTTGTCTCAGCAGTTTTTTGTCCAGTGAAGCATTTTTTTTTTCGTTTGATCGTAACATGCATGGGCCCCTGGCCTTCTTTTAATTTTTTTCACTGTGATTTTGAAGGGGCATGAGGAGCGAGAGAGGCAGATGTCGAAACAAAACTAGAAATTGAAGCCAAACATATTGTCGCTATCCTTCCATATTTTTAATCCTGACTTTTCATTTATTCAGTTTTTAGTGTCACAATAATGATAATTTATTATTATTTGCTCATTTCATAGGCAGTAAAATACTGCTAAATACAGAGACATTGGGAAAATAAACTGTTTCCTTTTCTCAGAAATGAAAAACTTGCATATTCCTAGTTAGTCTTTCTAGTTGCAAAAATAAAATAATGAAAGCACATGATGTCTTTTATTTTATCAAGTTGAAAATAATGATCAGCCCATGCAAGGAAATCTGACAGTCTTGGATTCTCAATTCTGTGCCATGGATACTGCATTCTGGATTCTTTGTCAGTGGAACTTGGATTCTGGATTCCAATTATAAGTGGGATCCAGAGTACTTGACCTTTATTTCAGTTTCCAAGAGAACTGAAATTTCCCAGATTCCAGATTCCCTTCGATGGGGTGACAGTGATCCTAAGATGAATAAGTTGTCTGTCAAACCAAAACCTGTTAATTGAGCTTCTAATTACTGTAGGCTAAGTGTGCATATTGTTCTTGTCACTGCATGTTGTTCTTGTCACCATATGCTTGAAAAGGGGGTTTGTGGACCAGGTGAAATAGTGGCTGGCATTGTAGTATTCCAAAACCAGCTGGGTATGATTATGAAGCAGCTATAATTCAGTTCTGAAATTTGGATTTAAAAAAATAAATTGCTTCAAAGGGTGCATATATCACTATCCACTGAATAAACAAGAGCGGAAGGGGCCTGCAGCATCTTGATCCCGGGATTTTTC